ACTAAAGCCCACTGTGATTTATTATTAGTGAAGACTTATCTTCTGAGTTCTTCAATGTTTAAAATCTCCAAGTCTTTTGATGTTTTAAAATATAAGGTTTTATTTTGTCATTAAGAAGCTGGTGACCGGAAAATAGAATTTTTAACTCTGTCCAGTATACTATTTCATGGTGCCATGGTTAAAGTACCAGTGAGGATTGCCCTCCAAGGGGAAGATGAAAGTGACCAATATTTCATTGAGATATTATACACACTGGTCGTTTTCCCAGATGATTTAAGCTTAAGCATCAGCTTATCAAAATATCTTTGAATCTGTTCACTCCTTTGGTGTAGGCCCTCATCAACTTTTGTTCAGACTATTCCAATAGTCTCCACATAGTTCTCCTTGGCTCTAGACTCTTACTTGTTCCAATTCTTCTCAATATTGTCACTATAGCTTACTTCCTATATGAGATATGATCATGTTATCCATCAGCTCAGGAAATCTATATTGACCACAGAATAAAGTTTAAACTCTTCAGCCCTTCACAAAATTCCCATAGTCCATTTTTCATTTCCCCCTTCAACACTGGCCCTACAAATGCACACATCTGCATACATCCAACACAAACCACAATTTATTTCTTGAAAGTGTCAGGCACTTTTACGAATCTGTGCTTTTATTATTACAGAGAGGAAATAAAATACAATTGCTTGATATTTTTGTTAAATTAAGAAGTTCAGATACTGAACTCGAGGAGGATTTCAAATCAGCAGATCTCCCTTTTCTTCTAGTCCTTGAATTTCACACTTACCCACTCAGGCCACCTGTTATCTGACTAGTTTTTAGCTCAACAGCAGCTAATTCCAGAGCAATCTTTTGATGCATTTCTAAGGATTAAAAAAAAATACTTCATATAGAGCATATTCATTCTGATCTAAAAGTAAAAAAGCAAGCAATCAATAAAAAAAAAAAGCCTCATAGGGCAATAATAATAAATTGCTTAAGTCTTTTTGAGGGGGAAAAGTGATTTTCCACATTTCTGTTTAAAAAGCCTCATGAGTAATTCTTTTAGCAATTAATAAATTCTGATGAAAGAAAAAAATCTATATTTCAATTCGAAAGTTTTCAGTTCTACAGATCACAATGAATTCTTTCTTTCCAAAAGATTTCTTAGCAATGATTTTTCAATGTGCATAACAATGGAAATATTTTGCAGTTCCATATAAACTTTTAATTTTCCTTTTCAAAAGTGGGTCTTTTCTTCCCTCAAAAAGCAGAAGTGGAACATATTTCTATTTTCAACGTAAAAATGGCTATGGGCAATCAAAGGTGATTATATTACAAGATTAAGGAGAATTCTGAATGTTAGAGAGGGAGCCTCTTTGCTTAGTCATTTTGCTCAATTAATCAATTCAATTTATGTGGGTTTTTTTCTCATATGTGTTATTTACCCACAGACAAAACTTATGATTTCAGGCAAATGATTTTCAGAGTTAATATTTACCTACTCAGTATTAGACATGGTTATCAAAACACTCCTTAAAAACTTAAAAAAACTCTCAACATCACAATAACTCTTCATATTTTTTCACAATTGTTATTACTTTCAGTTTTTGTTCAATGAAGTGATCTAGATGTCAGGGTTTAAATTATTTCTATATCTGGTATCTTGGGAAGCTACAGAAACTATTTCAGGTCATCACATATTATTTGATGACTCATTATTTCACTGTACTGCAACAAACTCCAGGGAAATAAAAGGAATGATGTAAATGCCAAAGGTCCCTAAACTGGAATTGTCAAGGAGAGAACATAAGATACCTTTTCAACAAGCATGCGTTAGACTAAGCACAACACATAAAGAAAAAATTAGACTGTGCCATTCCACAGGTCCCTTTCTACTTGTGAGCCTATCATATAGATTAGCATACCTCATTGGTATTCCTTGGAATTCTTCCATTGATGTAAATGACAGATTAGATATTTGAATAAAAGCCAGAACAGAAGACTCATGCATTTTAGAAGGATGTACAACTATAAGTGTTTAAGTTAAAAAAAAAAAAAAACAAAAAGGAATTAACTACAATTTGTATTTCTGGACTATTCCAGCTAATCAAAGTCAAATTTCTTTGAGGCTAATCTGTCTAATATTTATAAGAACGAATATGTTTGTACCTATATCACATACACACAACCTTTTAACCTGGCTAATCACAGATGTGTTAAATAATACACGATATTTGCTGTTGAATGTGCAAGCTTTTCTCATAATGATGCCACTAGATTATTTATAATGCATACTTGTTGAGGAAAATGTTACTGTAATATTGAGAAAGCCACTAGTTTGCTTGTTTTATAGACACAACATAAAAGCAAAAGGCAGCAACTGGCACAGTGCCTCTTATATTTAGCTCTCATCAGACCAACTGTAGTTCCGTATTTCTTTGAAGTTTAGATAAATATGATTTTGCAGTCAGGTTTCATTGTGAACAGAGTATGAAGCTATGAAATAGGATTTGAGATCTAACACCTTCTTAGACCACAATAATAAATAGAGTATAAACAAGACTGGCAGAGTTTAAAGTCAGAAAACATGGGTTCTAGAACCACCACTGCTTATAACACACATTTGACTTTAGGGAAAACGCTCCTTCATAACTTAATTACACATCTGTTAAGTGGGTATAATAACTGTCCTATATACCTGGGAGAATTATCAGGGGGCTTAAATAAAATAATAGACTTCATGATTTTTTTTAAGGTTAAGACACTATGCAACATGAAGTACATTGTGATTTACGGACATTGATCAGCCTCCATGACTTATCACAAATTTTCAGATTTAGGATTTGGGACAATATGGGCAGAAACACAATGAGAAACCTGTTTTGGGTGAGAAAGCAGATAAGGAAAAGAAGTACCAGAAGACACATTTTCCCTTTTCTTCCTGCCTACTATAGACTTAGAGAAAAATAAATTCTTGAAAACATACTGCTCTTTTTTGAAGTCATTACTATGAGTTCAGCAGCTTCCCTAAAAAAGTTTGTTGTTTAACATGAGAAATGGTAGCCCTTGGACTGTTTCAAATTCCAAATGTTGCCATAGAAACACAGCTTCAGACATTGGATAGAACGAACCATATGCCACTCTTTTTTTTTTTTTTCTTGATAAAGATTTTCTTAGGAAAAATATCCTGGAAAAACTACACTATGAAATAGGTGGAAAGATATGTTATGAAGCTCTTTGGTGGGTCATAATTGCAGAGCCTGGACCTTATTTAACCAACAAACACATTTGTTCACATGTTAAAATGTGGCCCTGCACTTCCCTGAGGAACTACTGTCTGGAAAAACACGACTACCTGCCGGGGGCCGCGCCACCAGACCCTGAGGCTGTACGCACAGCGAGGCCTATGAGGGGGCCACTGCACAGCAGTGGTAAGAAAAGATGTGGCGGGGTTCTCTGCATCTTCTTAGGATTTTGCTTGATATTCGCTTTGCTGTGTGCATATATTAAGAATCATGATTCTAGGGAGTCCCCACGGGGACAAGATGGGGAAATTCAGGGGAAGACTGGAACAAGTATGACTAAGGGGCAATTCCATATAAATGTGTCCCAAGAAATCTGTGCAGAGCTGTCTCTTTTATCAGGAGCCAGAGTAAGGGCAAAAAGATACCTGGAGGAAATTGGGCTTGGGTTGGAGGACCATCGAATGTTCCGTGGTGCTGCTATAGTTATTGTTGCGTATCTTGAAGGGAGGACTCTAACTGAATAGGTTAAGTAAAGTTTAAATCAGGCTTCGAAGAATTCTGATGTCAAACTGTTAATCAGATATTTGTTAATCAGATATTTGAGAACGGTCTGTCTAGGTCAATATAACCTTAAAAATTCTCGGAGCCAAAAAGAATAAAGAGAAATTGGTCGGTCTGAGCGTTCTGGTACAGCAGAGTTAATGGAAAGGGAACAAGATTAAATCAAGATTCTCATGAGCAGCGAAGCAGAGGGCTGGAACAAGTAAAAGGACAAAGAGGCACTGATTGTTTGAACTGTTCCGGAAGTGTAAACCGCAGAAGTATAACAAGGACTGATATTGTTAATACTGTACTAACTTCCCCTGTACTTTGAAACCGCAAGTGCTTGTAAGCATAAGTATAAATACCACAACATGAGTAAAACTGGCGGAGAACCTGCTGCCACCGAGCTGCAGAAGTGTGTCTTGTCTGTATCTTTCCTCGCGCCGACGCTACTCCTCCCTCAGGTTCCCGAACCCGCTGGAGCTGGACTCCGGCAACTACCGAGAACAGAGCGATTCTCTCTACTGTCCATAACAAGCTGGAAGCTCAAAGACTCATCAAACATAGCCTTGAAGAGCTAGAGGCGAATGTGTTTTCTTACTGGGATATATTATAATATATTATTAATGTAAGTACCTGGAGAGATTTAGAGACAGAAAATTTTGGTTATAGAAGTAGAATTTTTGAGATTCCTTCTGGTCTTGTGGCAAAAAAATTACCAATGTTTTCAAATATCACAATATTTCCATTGCTTATAAACAATATACACGTATAGCATATAAAATTTGAAAAACAAAAGAGAAAGCATATAAAAGTCCCAGGTGATTTTAACACTCATATATAACGACTTTTAAACTTCTGTATATTTTCACATAGAGGAAATAGAAAATGTATAATTTTATAGCCATATTTTTCTACTTAATTTTGAGATTTTTGCATTGAAAATAAAACCTCACATTGCCATATGATGCCAGATAGTCTATAATAAGAAGAGTAGGATTCAAGAATATCAAACACCAAGTGATAAATGTCTATCTTCTTTTCTGAATTTATTTGGATGCCGTCCATTAAGGATGGAGAGTCTGCAATAGCCAAGCAGCTATTTTGAGTTTATATGAAGAAAAAGCTGAGTCGTAACAACCTCAGATTTCTTAACCTTATTTTTTAAATCTTAATTTGTTTACCTTATGTCATTTTTTTTTTTTTTTACAATCCAAAGGTCTTGAAAACCTGGAACGCTTCATGAATTTGCACGTCATTCTTGTGCGGGGCCATGCTAATTTTCTCTGTCTTATTCCAATTTTAGCATATGTGCTGTTGAAGCAAGCATTCATATTTGTCAAATTTATCAATCTACATCTTTTCCACCAAATCCATTAAAAATAGGCATAGGAACATAAAGATACAAATGGAGTTTAAAATAAATTTTTTTATTAATTTAGTGAGATACTTTTTAGGATTTTTGTTTTCTTAGAATTTGTTATCTAATATAAGGTCTATCCCAAACTAAAGTTAATTTCTAATTAATTCTGGTCATGAAAGTGAGATTCAGTGAGTTATTACCTTAGACAAATTATAGTTCTTTGGCAACCTTAAGAGTTAATACAGCTTTTAAGTGTGCCTATTTGACAACTAGGGAAGAGCCTTTGCCCTGAGAATATCTGGCTCACTGATGGAGAATCATAGAATTTTAAAGCCCAATTACACATGGGGAAGCAGCACTTTAAATCCTGATGATTTTAAGGCTGCAATCAGATAAGTCTCCTGATCCACGTTAATCTTGTTGCAGTTAAATGAAGACAACCTTCTTTCATAGCTATGCTGTTCATATTTAATTTAATAATGAATATTTAAGGCAGGAATCACTGACCAATCTAGTTAAGAAGAGTAAATTGTAACATAGTCTAATAATCTCAATTTCTGCATATTAACTTTAATATATATGTGTACATACGACTGCCATTTTCCCAAAGTCACATTTGAAGATCCACAGAATAAGTGTTTGTGCCTCAATTTGAAGTCTTGGTTGTCTGTATGCATTTGTACATGTTGCGAATATTCTTAATGTAGATATGAGCAGTAGCTATTTAAAACTATGTACATAATTACATTATATCATTTAATCTTTGTATCAGGGCTGTTATCTCCATTTTAAAGATAAGGAATATTTCATTTTATAGAAAAGCTAAGTAAATTGCCCAAGGTCATACAGCCAGCATATTCCTTTAACAATTATTTTGTATAAATAAATGCTCACATGAGAATTTATTTAATTCAGAATATAAAATGGAGGTGAAATTTTTCTGAGATTTTATCCAAGTGATATGAAATATTATGGTACAGTATATTCCACACAAAGTTTAATTTTGTAGTCCAAGGTTCTCTAATTTTCAGATTTAACACTCTCTCTTATAAAGGTAAATGTTCCTGATGGGTTTTTATACTTACTTGTTTCTTGTTTGCCTATGTCTAACAGAATCCTGACATTTCTGGTACATATTGATATAAATCAGCAGTGGCCTTTTGCATTTCTGTAATTTAGAAATGAAAAGATGAATGTTTGGGTACTGTCATTGCTCATTTTCTACGAACAGGCTCTATGACAAGTGCTTATTAGACTCATTCTCAAGTATATTGCAAATGAATGCAACTATCTACACAACTCTTCCTTGACTTACAGTGGGGTTATGTCCCTAAACCTATCATGAGATGGAAATAACTTAAGTCAAAAAATGTACTTAATACACCTAATCTACTAATACACCTAACCATAGCTTAGCCTAGCCTACTCCAAATGTGCTCAGAACGTTTGCATCAATCTATGGTCAGGCAAAAGCATCTAACACAAAGCCTATTTTATAATAAAATGTGGAATATCTCATGTAATTTATTGAATACTATATTGAAAGTTAAAAACAGAATGATTGTGTAGGTACAGAATAGTTGTAAATGCATCAGTCGTTCACCTGATGATCTCACGGCTGACCAGGAGCTATGGTGGCGGCCGCTGTCCAGCATCAAGAAGAGTACCATACTATATGTTGCTAGCCCAGGAAGAGATTAAAATTCCAAATTCAGAGTATGGTTTCTATTGAATTCATATAACTTTTGCACAATCAGTAAAGTTAAAAAATCATTAAATTGAGCCAACATAAGTTGAGGATTGTCTGTATTTTTAAAGAGATGATAATGGTATCTGAATATTTTATTTTTACTTTCCAATGAACTGCCAGTTGTGAATAATGGTAATGCCTGAGCCCAATACTGTGCATGCCAAATTCTTAAAAAAAAATAGTCTCCATTAATAATGTCAATGGCTACAGTTTAATTATTCTAATGATCAAAGAAATATTCTAAAAGTTTTATAGTATTTCAAAAGATCTCTGCATTAAGGAATATTACAAATTTTCTAAGCCATCATGGACCAACTTAAAACTGAAGAAATAAACACCATATTGTTGTACAATGTCAATCATGATGGAAATGTAAAAATAACTGAATTAACAGTTAAAGCAAATGTCAAATCCATAGCAGTCTAAATGCTACAAGCCTAAATCTTCTGAATTTTCAGTCTATTGATTAAAAAGTGCAAAATACCAGTAACACAGAGAAGTACTCATTTTAATATTTGTTACTGAGATTAATAATACTTTTTATGTAATTTGGAGATCAGGCATCTGGGGTCTGAAAACAAAGCATATAACTATATTTACATATAAATTGCTTTTCTCATTTTTGTTTGATTTAGATTTAGATTTAGATATCTGAAATTGCTGAAATTTATCTATCTGTCAAGAATCATCCATAAATTTTGGTAAAGAAAGGATTCTAGGAATTTTTCCTTCTGTGTATACTAGTGGGCATACATGAAAATTTAAATGTTAATCTCAGCTTGATATCCTCCACAGTGTGTTAAGAACTGAACAGAAACAGTTTTGCAAAGTGGAAAGATATTGAATACATCCTAATTAAAATCATTGACCAAAACAGATCAAATAAATGACATAAATCTCATGATGAGGCTCGTTCACAGTTTACATGGTATGTCACCACACAAAACCAAGAATAGATACTTCACTGAATGCATCGAGGAACTTTAAATAGGAATATATTTTAAGTTCATTGTTTATTCAGGTCTGTTCTCCAGTGAAACTCACATGTTAATTATAAAAACAGACTACTTTTGTGAAAGAGAAGAATATTTTGGTCTTGAATACATTTTATTCAGGCAAAACGCCCAAAAGCAAACACATGGCCAACTCAAAATAAAGTCTGTGAGTCTGCTTACAGGGAGTATTTATCATCGATCTGCCACAAATGTGTATATTAAATGGGAAATGTAATATATTTGAATAAATTTCAGTTTTGGTCAATATACAGTCATTATACACGGTGAACCCCCACTATTAGATTAGTAAACACCATAAGATGTATTATTGCATGCTAGGCTCAGAAGAGAAATCAATTCTCTTTTAACTCTACAACTGCTTAACTGCGTATTTCATGGTAAGTATGCACTGCTTTGGGGTAAAGGTCAGTATGATATATACATAGTTAATAAAGGCCATAAACAAAATGAATGACTTTCTGAGCATAAAAATGGAAAACTTTATGTAGGAAATCGTTAAAGGAGCTAGCTCAGCTTTGTCATGTACAAGCTGTATGATCCTGGGCCAGTTCCTGGACCTCTCTTGTGATTATTTCCTTATCTTTTAAATAGGAGTACTAACGAAACTTATCATAAAAGATTGTTGGAGGAGATAGTGAAAAATGCATGTAAGTCTCTTGGAATAATGCTGAGCATACAGTAAGTGTTCAATGAATGTGAGCTGTTATCAGTGCAAAACACTCCTAGTTCATTGCACAAAAGTATTCTTTCAATTTTGTGCTTAAAAGATAGAAATGTATGTATTCATCAATGTAGTAGTTAACTATATCTTTTCAAAAGTACTACTCAAAAGTAAATTTTAACTAAAAGTCTCTTTAGTTTAGCAAACAGTACAAAGCTGTTCACATCATTCTCAGTACATAAAGAAGAGAATGAAAGTTGCATGGAAAGTTCTGTAGCTCCGAGATTCAACTGATTTGTGGTTTTTAGGTTCGGAGAGTCTTGGAAATACCCAATTATTCTTATGCCAAGGTCACCTTTATGCTTTTTTCTGCAAAGAAAATTTAAAGAGAAAAAATACAATTTTGTTCGGCAAGTATTGAATGGGAAGAGTTGAAATTAGTGTTTTATTTGTCAATTGAAGTCTAGTTGACTTGTAATATTGTATTAGTTTGAAATCGCTGTTCTTAATGGTAATAAGTTTAATTTGCTCAATGGCATATCTCACACTGACTTATGACCATGATTATGATCAATTAAATAACTCATAATTTATCTGATCATCACAATTCTAATTAATAGACAAAGGGGTCTTAGTAATGGTTTTGGCACTATTACATAAATCACCAGGGAATTAGGCTTTATAAAGTTTTCCTATTCCAATAAAAGAGCTCCAACCTTCTCATCAAATTAAGTATTTCACATGCTGAGAGAACTCTAATTTATTACTAGCAAATTATTTATGTGTGAATATGGTTCTTATCTTAATTTGTAAGATTAAAAGTCACTGTACATTTGGTACCATTTTTATCAGTTTTTACAGTGACATCTTACTTATTAAAATGTACTTTATAATAAACCTGTTGAAAGAAAATAGAGTGAAAAAGGCAAATTAGTCCTATACTCATTTAAATATCAAAAATGGACACAAATATAGAAAATATATCGTAGATACTACTGCAGTAACACAAGCAGCTTTACTTTTGACCTCTGTAAGTCACTCGGAAGAAAATATCTGTCCAAGCCCTGATTCAAACAGAAATATCTGTTCACTACCCTTCAAAAATTACTTGGTTTTAAAAATAACCTGAGCTATATCATATATATGTATATTATACATTTTAATTGAAGTAGAAGCTAATTTTAGTCTTAAGTATTTAACATTACTTGAAATAGCTAAACGATTTCAAAGAGGTATTGTGGCTATATAATCTCCCTTTTGAGTTTTAGATCCTCCCAAGCTGAAGGGTTATGTAAGAGCATCATTATGAAATATTATAGGCAAAGAAAAATTATTCCTGGTACCCATTTTAATGATTATATTACTGTTTTGGTGTTTGTGAGATCTGTAAACTGCAACTACATTGTAGAATGACACCAGATTTAGAGTATTTGCAAAAAGGAAATTTATGGAGTGGAATTTACTTATTGGGACACATACTGTAAAACCTAGTTTTATTCCTTCTAGCTATGCTTTTTCAAGTTCTGTACACACTTATCTC